CACACACACACACACACACACACACACACAAACACACACACACACACACACACACGCACGCACGCACGTGCGCGCGCACACACACACACACACACACACATACACACACACACACACATACACACACACGCGCACGCGCACGCGCGCACATGCTGCTGCTTCCTCACCATGTCAGGGCGCTTGGTCCCCCGAGGAGTGCTACGGCGAATTTGTCACCGACGCCACCAATGACCAGAACTTCCAGGCCTGGGACCTCATACCTCACGACAACAGCTCGGGTGTGCTCACCCACCGCCCCGCCTACACCTCCCTCCCGGCGTGCCAGGCTGGCTGCAGCGCGAGCGCGGCGTGCCAGTACTTTGCATTTTACGTGGTGGGGGGCCCGGACGGCTCGGGGTCTTGCTACCACCGCGAGTGGAGTGATGTCACGCCAACATCAGCGAGGATATACAGGGCGGACCTCACCTGGTGGGATGCGCCAGACATGCCCATTGTCCTTTTTGAGGTGCGTGCGTTCAGGGGGGGAGGGTGCGGGAGTTTGTGCCCGGATCGGGTTGCTGGGGGCCGCGTGCGCCGGCGGTGCCCTGGCTTGCGTAGCTGGCGCACTCCGTTCCGGCAGCGGCTAGGGACAGCCCCAGCTGCTTCTCACGTTGGTTGCTGGACCCCCCACACACCCCTGCCCATTCATGCCGCATGCAGCTGCACGTAGTCCGTCCCCTCCGCCCCCCAAACACACACTCACACATGCACGCACGCACTCATTCACTCACGCTCGTGCATACACGCACTCACACATGTATCGTCGTGTGCATCCCCGACCAGCACCCATCACTGCAACCCAACTCCCCCACGCAGATCAAGGACGGGTCCTACGTCATATATCCCATGAAGCCCGGCGAGACCATCGGCTCCGACCTATCCAGCACCGCCACCTTCTCGGGAATCAACCCCGGCAGCTTCTCCGCCATGCGCGCCGCCTGCGACCGCGACGCCCAGTGCATCGGGCTGACAATTGACCCGCCGTCCCGCTGGCGCCCGTTCGCCGGCCGCACGTGGGAGGGGGCGGTGGGCAAGGTGCGGCTGGTGGGGACGGCAATCAATTCGTGGATCAGGGTGCCAGACGGAGTGGAGGTCTCGCCGTTCTCCATGGGCATGTCATGGTGGGCTTCCCCGCCCTGAGGCCGCGACCAACGGCCAGCGGCGCTGGAGACACGACTGCAGGGCCCCGCGGTGCGTGCGACCCTCCGTCGCCCGCCTGCACACCGCCGGCGCCCATTCCCCACTTCCGCTGCTCGCGCGCCGCCCCCGCTTGGGCCTGCGCCCCGCTTGGAAGGCCGCCTCTTCGGTCAATGCTCCCTGCCCTCATCGTTGCTCCCCAGCTCTCTTGTTGTGGCGGTGCTTCGGGCGCTCATACCGCCCGCCAACTGTCGGTCGCAGTGTCGAGCCGCTGCGGCTGCTCACTCTGTATTTTTCCGCAATCCACGCCGGAACATGGATGCACGCCAACAAATCTTCCCTTGCAGCACGCGGGCCGCACTGCTTGCTCTGCAAGGGGTTGGGTGCTGCGCGTGCATATGCACGTGCGTACCCAGCTCAGGGTGCCCCTACCTCCTCTTGTTCCCTCACAGCGGCGTCGACGACGCACTAGTGTTGTCAGTACAACCAGATACACGCCGTTGCTAACGACCACCATCGCTATGGTGTCACGTGGATCCAAGTGACGTGGCCCGGCGCCACCTAGGTTCTGATAGTTTCGCCATGAACAAACACACGACCCTCCGGCCGCCCCGCGCGCCACAGCAGCCCGGCGTGGCTGCACCGCTCGTAGCGTGCACAACATTCGACCCTTCATCCAGCACCCGGCGCCGCCGAGCCCCTGCTCCTGCTCACCAACGGTCAGGACGGCCCGCACTGCTGCGTGCGTATTCGCGCGCGCGGATGCAATCGGCCGCATCATTGCGTTTCCCTTGCTGCGCCGGCCCCAAGCAAGCCTCAGCGGCCGTGGCCGCCCCGAGCGCGGGCGTCCAGGCAAGCCCCTTCGTCTTTGTGTGTATTCCTATGGATTTCAACGCCTTGGAGGCTTCTTTTCCATCTCTTGATTTCCCCGTGCGCGCCTAAATCTTTCAAGCCGATTGTCAGGTTGCAAGTTGCCTTGAAGCGCGCGCGAGGACGCTGCCCCTCTCAAGCTGTGTGCGCGCGCCCCCTCGCACGCGCCGCGAACCACCGGCGCGCCTCAGCGACTTTTCCTGCGACCTCCTACTCCTCGTTCTGGTGCCCGTGCGTGCTGCGGGTAAATCGGCTTGTGGTTATAATCTACTGCGTCTGCATGCACTTGCATTTTCCCAGGGCTTGTCGGGCGCGGCGGTGCTTGGTCAGCATCACCCACGCACCGGTCCTCAGTGCAAGCGCAACGAATGCACGCGCCTCGGCTTTGCGCGTGCCCCAGCAAACATTGCGTAGGCGCCACTCGCGATTTGCGGCTCTTTCTCGCGGCTGAGCCGAACCTCATGAATACTGCGCCGCGGCCTGAAACGGCGCGCCCAATCAGCAGAGCATCCAGGATGCCTTGTGAGCCCGCTGTTACAGCCGGGGCTTGACTGGGGATCTGTTTTCCATTCATTCGTAACTGTACTCTATTATGCAATCGAGCCGTAGGTTCGAAATGACAAAGCAGCTGGATTGCAATTGCTGAGAGGCCTGAGCCGGCCCTCCAGACCCCGCCCGCTCCTCAAACGGCGGGCGCGCAAGCGGCGCCCCTCAGTGCTGGCGCGTCACACACCCGCGCCGCCGCGCTCCCCGGCGCCCGCCGGTCAGAGCTTAAAGCCCGAGTGCAGGGCCACCTGCGCGCGGTGGGAGCGTAAGGAAAGGAGGTCGTCTGGCAGTCCGTCCAGGGAAGCTGCGGAGAAGCTGGCTTCAGCAGGGCGCGTCGGGGCCCTGGCCGGCCGGCGGGGCCGTACGCACGCAGATTTTGCTGCAGCCGGGCTCTGCTCCAGCAGGCGGTGGACGAGCCCTTGATCACGAGCCAGAAGGGCCCGGAAGGTCGCGAGGCCGGCTCGCCGCGGCCCCTGCCCGCGCCCTAGATGCTGCCACGGGGCCGCCGCGCGCGCCGCCGTCCCGGGGGGAGCAGCTGCAGCGGCCACCCACCACTCCGTGAGTCATGTTCTCATAAGTGACCGCGTGGAACCCTGCCTCTCTTATCAATGCAGCAAACGCCTCCTGCCAGGGGGGGGATGGTTCAAACGGCAGTGCCAGATCGGAGGGGTGTGAGGCAACCCTGCAAGGTGATGTTGTGGGGATCGTGGGCGGCACGGCAGCCGGGGTGGCATCTCCGCAGCGAGCGCCTGCCACCCCTGTGCTGTGGTAGAGCACACCAAAATCACACCCAGATCACGACCGCATCACGCATAGATCAGGCCCAGATCACGAGATCACCTGGTCGGGGAACTGCCGTATGCTCTCCACCAGGTACTGGTAGCTGTCGGCGTCACCCGCCACCAGCTGGCCGATGCGGGGTATCACCGCGAATGAGTAAGCGTCGTACGCCTGGCGCAGCAGCGGCTGGGTGACCTGGGTGACGGGTGGGGGGGTCGATGCGGCGAGGGAGTTTTGATTGGGAGGAAGAAATGGTGGGGAAGGCGGAGAGACAGGGTGGCTGTCAAAACAGGTCGGCTGTTGTTTTGGGACGAGTTGTGGTTACAGGGTGGCTGCGTGGTTTTGAATGAGTTGCAGTTGGCCATCTCGGAATGTGTGTGTCTGTTGCTGCATGGGCGGAGCGCGCAAGCGCACGAGCAGGGGCTCCTCCAGCCAAGCCGCGGTGCCCGGGCCGCCCTGCACAGACCTGGGAGAACTCCAGGCACAGGAACCGCCCCCCGCGCTTGAGCACCCGCCGCGCCTCCCGCAGCGCCGCGGGGCGATCCGTCACGTTGCGGATGCCAAAGGCGATGGTGTAGGCGTCGAACGACTCATCGGGGAACGGCAGCGCCTCCGCGTCACCCTGCACCCAGGATGACGCCCCCAGCAGCCCGCGGCGCGCGGCCTTGGCCCGCCCGACCTCCAGCATGCTGCCGTTGATGTCGCACACCGTCACGCGGCCGCCGCCGGCCGCTTCGTCGGGCCCCTGCTCCTGCTGCTGCTGCTGCTGCTGCTGCTGCTGCTGCTGCTGCTGCTGCTGCTGCTGCTGCTGCTGCTGCGGCGGCGGCCGCGCGCGCTCTGCCGCCTCTGCTGCCTGTATGGCTGCCAGCACTCTGAAGGCGACGTCGCCAGTGCCACCAGCGACGTCCAGGTGGCGCATCCCTGAAAACGGCCGCAGCACGTCCACCAACCTGCGGGGTGGTGATTTCATTTCGGTTTCTTGTGGTTTTGAGGCCCTGAGCCGCTCACTATGTTGGTTGCAACCGACCCTTTACTTGCTTGTCCCCTTGTAATATAGGGGCGATGCCAGGGCGGTTAGCAGCTCGCCTTCTGCCACCTGGCGGGCCCAGCTGCATGGGGCGCGTTTCGGGGCAAGCAGGGCAGCTGCACCCAAACCAGGCCGCCGCGCGCCGCCGCGCCTGAGCGCGTGCAACGGCCCCATGCGTCGCGCGCGCACAAAGCATACACACGCGCCTGTCCTTCCACAGCCGATGCAGGCCGCCGCTCATGAGGTCATTCATAATGTCGTAACTGCTAGCCACGCTATGAAACACCTGGCCGACCATGCCCGCTTTCTCGCCGCGGGGGACTTGACGGAAGCCTGGGGGGTGGGGGATGGGTGCAGGGTGCGACGTACGGCGCGGACGGGGCCGGGGCAGCGGGCGACAAGTGTGCAAGGGGGGGCACCATGAGGCGCCCCCCTTGGGTGGCAACGTGTTGCGTGGCGGCCGACAGAGGTAGATAAAAGCACGCGGGAGCGACCGGTGAGGCGTGATGGGACGGCTACGCAAAGAGGGCGAGGTCAGGAAGGAGCGAGCGCATACGCACAACCGCACATGAGTTTGCAGCACTTCCGCTCCTCACCAAAGTCCGTTGTGTCTTCGTCCCCGGCCGGCTGCTGGGTGGAGTAGCTCAGCACCCCGTTCAGCTGCTGGCCAGTCGCCGCTGCCGCTGCGTTTGCGCACATGGCATGGAGGCGGGGCGCGAACAGCAGCGATGCGCAGCGCTGCAGGGACGCCATCGCGAGAGCGCCCCGAGCGTGTTGTCACGCGGCGCAGGGCTCGACGCGAATGCTATGATGATATGAGTTGAATGAATCTACAGGACGTGCAGCCCTGATGCCGATGCAATCTTGATCTTGAGCGCGTTGGCACAGCTGCACGGTACCAATGAGCGCGCTGGCTGATAAGTGTGTTATTCGCACATGTGCACTGACTGTAATCGATTTGCACAGAGCACAGCGCGAACCTACTGTACGAGCACTTGAACATTGGCGCCCTCTGCAGTTGACTCATGGACCACAAAGCGCCTGCTTTTTCCAGCGGCAAGAAACGCAGGCAAGGCTACAGATTGTTTCACAGATTTTTGCAGATGCATCAACCCGTTTTGATTTGTTAGATGCCCACGCTATGAGCTTGGAATGGCCTGGCGGTGACGGCCAAGGTTCCCCCCCCCCCAACCAAAGGGAATCGAACCCGACAGCCAGCGGCCCTCAGCCATCACCCCTATCCCCCTGCATGTTAGAAAGCTGATGCGGAGGCAAACTTCAGATACTCCCTACTTGCTATTGTTACATTCGCCGCACCAGCAGGTGCAGGCCAACCCCACACCGCGTCACAGCCGCGCCGCGCGCCGCCGCTCCGCCTCCGGCCGGGCGTGCGTCGCGGCCCCCTCTCCCTCAAAGCTGAACAACGACAACAACCGCGCCGCGTCACAGCACCTCTTCGTCCGATTCGACGCCCGGCTCCTCTCCTGTGGCCCTGGACTGGATGCGCCGCTTGACCTTGAGCAGCATGTTGGTCTGTTGGGAACAGGAGGGCGGGGTTGCAGCGGTGACTGCTCTGATTCAAGAGTGCCATGAGAGTGCGGGACACGTGCGGTCGTCGCGCTCAAAAAATGCGAGCAAGGCGCGAGGTGAAGCGCAGGTGGACCGAGCAGCAACGAAAGCGTGGTGTCTAGCTTCGGAGCGAGAGCAGCCAACTGCGCGGCCGGCTGCACGCCCCAACACGCCGACACGCTTGCGCCCGCCGTCCCAGGCGGCCGCCCGCTCGCTCCCACGTGCGGGACAGCGGCACGGCCGCGCCCCTCCCCGCCAAAAGGTGCGTGCACATGGCGCACCTTCCAGGCGTCGAGCCGGGTGAGGGAGTCAAACTCTGACACGGCGGTCGCAAAGGCCTTCTCGTCGCACTGCGCCAGCGCGTCTGCGCAGGACTCAAGAAGGTTGGCCTCCCGGCTGCCGGCAAACTGCGGGGGGCAGGGGCGAGAGCAGAAGGCAGATGGCTTAGGCGGGCGGGGCCGGACTGATGACGCGCCTGCCTGCACCCCGACCACCCCCATCGCAAACCCCACTATCCCCCACTGCACCCCCACTGCCCCAATCGCACCCCCAGGACCCCGT